TTAGTATAGTAAGTTTAAGTCATCAACTCTATGAGTCTTGCATTGTCATGACCGTTAACTTTAGTTTTTTTGCCTAGTTCAGTTAAGTTCTACATATCTCTTTCTTATATCTCTTTCATATTACATATAAGTGAATGACTCTTGAGTTTCGAGGTACTTGTTAGTGAAATGAATGATCTTAATTTCAGTGTAATTTAGCTAACAGCGCACAAGTGTAACTACTTTAAACTTCCAGAAAATTTAGCTTGCTAAGCTGACCATAACTATGAATTAAGCATTGCTAACGAAGTATTAGTGCCATGTTTTAAGGATGAAATAACATCTACGATCCCTCTACCACCAGAGATTGAAGCTCCTTAACCACCAAGAGTATCTTCTTTTTTTTTGAATTAAAAACCACCAAGAGTATCTCCTTAACCTCCTCTGTTTTTACTGCTACACCGCCTCCTCTGTTCGCCTGCTTCTCCTACCTCTTTGTAGCCCTCCCTGTGATTCACAACATTCACGTTGTGTGATTGGTTTGACCATTTAATGTTTCGTTTAATAAGAATCTTTGTTCGATGAGCAGAAACAATAATTAAACAATATTTCGTGTTACAATAATGTGTGGGATGAGTGAGAGATAAGGCAGGCGCCAGGCTAATAAGAATTGATACCAGCTTCGTTTCATAATGGACTTGATGACTGCCTACGATAGCAAGTGATGAGACCATGTTAAAGAGTTAAACTATAGCTTTGATGGGTTGAGCCAGGCCCGTGCAATAGTGCAATGCATGGGCAACTCGTGAAAACCCAGATAGCAAGCTATCTTAATGGACCTTCACCCTAAAAAAATAGAGTTAATATCGTGTGGGCCGATGACCCACATATCAGATCTATACTATTATTTGCGAAGTGATTTTTCGCAACGGAGCTCTCACGTTAAAAGCTAGGGTGGTTAATATCGTTTATACCCTTAATGAATAATTAAAAATTTCAATATATAATTAAACATAAATAAAAACGAATTTCAATGCTTTTAGATTTATCTTTATCTAAAACTATTTTATATTGGATTATAAAGTCTTTCTTAACCTTGAAAAATAATTATATTTGTTAATATATAATTAATTATAAAGTAAAAACGAATTTCATTTATTTGATAATTATCCTTATTTAAATTTTTTTATATTATGTTATAAAATATTTATCAACGTTGAAAATAATTATATTTGTTAATATATAATTAATTCTAAATTAAAAACGAATTTCAAGAATTTGATAGAAAAATTATATTATGTTGTAAAGTCTTTATCAACCTTGAAAAATAATTATATTTGTTAATGTATAATTAATTCTAAATTAAAAAAAATTACATGAATTTAATAATTATCCTTATCTAAATTTTTATATTGTGTTATAAAGTCTTTATTAACATTGAAAAATAATTCTATTTGTTAATATATAGTTAATTATGAAAAATAAATTCGCAAAAAATTATGTATAGATAATTTATATTGTGTTATCCAAAATATTACTAAAGATAATTTTATTATACATTTTTTGTTATGTCTAAAAATGATATTAATTTATTACTTAATATTTTAAATTTATGAGTATTTTTAAAATTAATTTGTGTAATGAAAATTATTTATATGATGATGAAAAATTTTGTATATAGAAAAAATTTGTTTAGTTTATTATTAAATATTTTGATTCTATGAGCAATAATTTATTATAATTTACTTAAATTGATTATATAATTATTTATTCATATTAGTAAAATTATTAAGCCCGTAAGTGCGGGCAAAACACCTAGTATTAAACTGATAAGAACAGATACTACACTTGATCTTAGCCAAAAGGCCGAGAAAGGTATGATTTGTTAGTAAGGCTAGGCTTCGTTTTTATAGTGCTAAAGCTTATGACTAACTTCCTTTAGCTTAGCGATGTGGGACTTGACAAATAGTCTCTTTTGTTTTCTTCAAACAAGCAATGCTATAACTTCACGAATCTTGAAACTTTGCAAATCTAGAAGACCTATAATTTCAGGTAGCGTTAATTGAATCACAGCAATCTATGTCATGTGCAGGATCTTTATCTTATAGCTTTCTTTCATCCCTTTTGCAGTGTACGTAATATTAGAATCCTAACCATAAGAGGTTGCTCCTATGGTTCTGGAACTGCAAACACACAAGGTTTTAATGACAAACGGTAATAACTAGTATGGCCCACTAAGATATATTAATTGCAGAAGAAAAGGATGTTAGATTTGAACAAACTCTATTAATATTAAGAACATGAAAAAGACCAAACCAAACTTGGGTGCTTATCCATTAACACATTGATGCAACGTTTGGAGATTAATAATACCAAAACCACAAACAAAAACAGAGTTTTTCAAATCATCTTCATAGGATGGAGCATGCCTTTTGTGCTTTGCTCTTTTTCTTCTTCTGCTTCGGAGGTTGCAACACCACTCGTATGGCCGCGTCAAACACTGCCTTCACATTCTGCACTCAGAAACATTTTATAACATTTATAACTTTAAAGTGATCAACACTAGAAAACCTGTCAAGTAGTGCACTAACTAAAACAATACCTCTTGAGATTTGGAACTACATTCGATGTAAAAAGGTGCTTCTATTTGCTTCTTCAGCTCCTCTCCCTGAGCAGTAGTGATCGGGACAGCACCAGGATGGTCGATGAAGAACTGCTTATCATCTCGAAGATCTGTGAGATTATGAGCAGCCACACACAGACACATTGTGTCACAAACTAGCCAATTAAAACGTGCGATATGGAGTAAAATAAATGAAAATCTCACCAAGCTTTGATCCAACAAGGATAATAGGCACACCAGGCGCATAATGTTTCAACTCAGGGATCCACTATTACACACACACATGAACTTTGTAAGAGGTAGAGAGAGAGAGAGAGAGTTAACAACACTAATACCAAAACAAGATCTTTGATGGATAAAGCTACCTTTTTGGAGACATTTTCATAACTGGCTTTACTGATAAGTGAGAAGGCTAATATGAAAACATCTGCGCCACGGTAGCTTAGTGGTCTTAATCTGTTGTAATCCTCTTGCCCTGTTTTATTTTTTTAATCTTTAAAATGTCAGATCCAAAGGGGGAAAAAGATCCATATTTCAGAAAACAAAGATAAGTTTATAAAATGAAGAACCTGCAGTATCCCACAATCCAAGATTGACGGTGGCTCCATTGACCACAACATTAGCACTGAAATTGTCAAAAACGGTAGGCACATAATCCTGAATCAATTAGAGAAACCAAGAACAACGATGAGTAGTTGTTATACACAGATGTAAAAATGTTACTATTTAATAGTAAAATCAATATGAGAATGAGAGGGGACAGAACCAAACCGTAGGGAAAGTGTTGCTTGTGTAAGAAATCAACAAACATGTTTTTCCGACAGCTCCATCTCCAACCGTCACACACTTTACGAATCTCGAAGCGCTCATTATCTCCCACTTTTACAAAACAAAAAGCTCAAAGATTTGAGCCTTTTAAATCTTTACAAAAACAACAAGCTTTTGAATCAGAGATTTTTCTGTTAATTTTCTTCTTTTTCTTCTCGGTGCTCAACAACCTCAATGAAGCATTTGGGAAACCCTGATTAGCCCAAAGAAAGAGAGGGAAGCAAACAACAACAAGGAGGAAAGTGACAGAAACAAAAATGTAGAGTTTGTTAGTTAGTTAGCTTTTTTCCCGGGAAAATGGCTTTGAAATGTTCTCTTTTTTTCTGGTCTGTCTTTATTTCGACCAATCAAATGCTCTGTCTATTTCCGACTATTTTGGACTTCATCTTTTAATAGGGGAGCCAGCTACACTAAACTTGTTTGTTTTTTTTATTTATTTGATTTTTTATTTATTAAGGAATTGCCTTTTTCTGTCGCCCTTTTCTTTCACTCTTGCGTTCAAATCATGACAGTGATTGAATAAGCTATGAGGAATCTGAATATACAGCGTATAATTAGATATCCTAGAATCAATTCTAATTACATATTGTGATCAATCACATTTACTTTGTACATATCTTATTACCATTTCCTTTTACGCTTCCTCTGTATAAATGTAAATCTCCTTCTGTCAATAATGTAGTAATATTCATGGGAAAATTCCATAA